CTTTTCTTACCACCTCCTGCTTGCGAAATCGACGAACCAGCTCCCTTAGGTCGTTCAGGAGGCTTAGGGGCTTCCTCTTCCTCCTCCTCGACTCCAGACGGGAAAATCTTTGCGATCCTAGTGAAGTACTTTAGCACGGTCTCCACCTCGTCCCGGTAGCATGCACAGAGAATTTGGTAGTCATGCGGAGTGTATGCTACACTAGGATCGAGCCCGTCTTTGTCGAATACGGGAACGTTCGGGACTTCGTACAGTTGACCATTCAGAAGTCCGGCAGCATTGTAAAAGTAACTGCTGAGCTTTCGTTTGAGCCACAGGTAAGTGTGCTCATCAGGTCGGATAGCTACGACGTGCCCGTCCTCGTTGTACAGAACACTAGGAAGCGTAATGAAGCTATCCAGCTTATCAAAGATTTCTTTCCAAGCTCTAGTTTCCTTTCGCTTGAAGCCTTCCATAGAAATCTGAGCTGGTAGGGAGTACAAGTCTCTCTGAAGGTAAGAGAAACCGATCGATCGAGCCTTAATCCTCTTCGCAATGTCCAGATCGAGCGATTCCATGTAGGATAAAGGTGAGGCGGTCAGCGGCGCGTGAATAGAGTTCATCTTTTCAGCAAAAGGAACGAATTCGGTGAGGGGAAGCCCACCGATTAATTCGTGGACCGGCAAAGAGGAGAAGTCGATCGGTTGACCCGAAACAATCGGATCGGCGAATAGTTCTTCGTCGAGTCTCTGTTTCCCTTTGCCTTTCTCAGGCGATTGAGAACCAGAGTCTGGCTTCGATGCATCGGAATTTCCAACATTCTCGAAGCCTGAGCTTCCTGCGGGAGTAGCGTTAGCGTTAGCCATCTTGAGCTTGCAAAAAGGTTAGTCGGAATGTTCGTTTGATAAAAGTGGACCCCCCAACGTCCACCAATGTTATGGACTGGGATTGCTAACTTACCGAGTACTTACTTAGTAACAACCGTCGGTAGTTACGTAATCGTAGTCGCCTTAGTTAAGAAATGAATTGAGGATTATCTCGTTGTGAAGAGGATTAACACAACGATTTGAGTGATCGACTTATGAGGTTTAGTCGATCGAGAATCGATTTCGCTCAACAAGTTCACGCACTAAGTCCGGAGTGGCACAGTAGTGCCTACGTTCTTAATGAAGCTAAGAAACTTGGTTGAGCAAAGTAAGTCGGTTACGACTTTAGTGAATAGAGCGTTACAACAATAGTTGAGGATGCCACTAAACACGAACCCGACTCTAACCGTAGATCGATGAAGCTTACTCTTACCGAACCCTTCAGAGTAGCGCGAGGCTATACTAATGAAGGGGTCAAGGTAGATCGACTTAGCGCACGGCTATAAGTACGATCGACCTTAGTATGTCCAGCGCGGAGCTATGGACGATCGAGTGGCTCACACCGATAGATTGAAGTTCAAGAGAGTGTTATTTGTCTGGTCACTACCACAGTGTTTAAATACATTCCAAACGTACTAGAATATTCTACAAGAGAACAATAGCCTTTCCAATGTCCTCGGTCGAGTACCCCGTATACTCATTGTTCTTAGACCGAACCGATCGGCTTTAGTTCGGTTGCCCTTGCCGAGTCTAGACAAGTCGATCCCTCGCCCGAGCGATCTCCGGGATCAGCTGATACTGACTCTAAAGGGTAAGTAAGGACTTGTACCGGAAAGGAAGGTCTTCGCCGTAAGTCACGTGTCAGCGCTTAACCACTTTGACAGGCTTTCGCGACTTAGGCAATCCCTTTGACGTTAGGCCTACCTAACAGGTATGGGTATGCTGCCAGACACCCATGGGTACTATATCGGGCCGGGATCTTGGCCACCGTTCCATATCATTCCTTGATGTCCCATCACGTCCTATATCACTCTTTGATGTTCCATCATGTCTCATATTATTCCTGATGTTCCATCACATTTCATGTATCTCTCCACATCAAACTCCGAGTTTTGGCTTACTCATGCTGCTTACCAGCTTACTCATATCCCCAAAACCTCGGACTTAGTGCTTACTGATGAACCACTGATACAGCATGTGACCTGTATCAAATGTGTATATATACTGGGCTGGTTTGCCCTGTAATGATAACGATCCTTCGTCCTCTCCTCTGCCTGCCAGCATAGGATCTTCCCTTTGGGACTGGTCTGTTCACTCACTCTTTAGTCCTTCACTGCCACTGGGCTTACTAAGCCTAAAACCTCTTTCTTCAACATATTGTAGTCCTGCACCCTTGATCTTGTAGCCAACGTAGCCAATGCCCCGTCATCCATATATAAGGTCAAGAAGATGCAGACATTGCTGAGCAATACGTGTAAGATTGAAGTAAAGCGGTACATGGGTGCCTTTGGTCATACCTACCATATTGTTTGTCTGTGTTCTTTGGTCACAACGGTAAGCATAGGGCATTGCAAAAAACAGAATGATGACAAACAGCTTTTTTAAACCTTGGCAAACCCTCGGATACGCCCTCACCTGTGTTTCTTCCCCAACAATGCTGGCAAAATACTTGAAGAGGCCTACCAAGCCAAGCAGCGGCTGAATGAAGTTGATCCACACCTACTCACTCCTATGTATTGTGTCAGAGGGAATGACTTCTACATGTTTGAGCCGGTGCAGTTACTTGGCGGCAGGTTGTGTATTCCATACCAGTTTTTCACTCGCCAGGATGTCATGCACGTCAAAGCATGGCCCATCATCCTCGGACATGACAACCTTAGACAATACAGTTGGATCATTGACAAGGGATCTCCATTTACCTGTCCTGTGAAGGATCTTGCCATGACAATCATCAGCCTCCTACATGGTGGTCATCTTGATAATTGTGTGCCAGATATCAAGGAGATCCTCAGTAGTTATCTCATTCAACTATCCTTCAGTATTGTCTGAATGTATGCACAGGGGAACATGACACTCCTTTGTTGCTGCTAAGTCCTTGGACCAAACCTCTGGTCAATCCGTGGTGCACCAAGGCCAAAGGGAAGTGGGTCTTATCATCTGCATACTGGCTATACTGTGACAACACCTCTGGCAACCATTCAAAGAAGTGGAACGAGCACAACAGCTTCATGACACCTGCTGGTATTCCAAGGGAGCATGCTCAAATTGATTCCAACCATCCATTTCCTATGTACCTCAAATGCTGCTCTGCCTCTAGAGATGCTAGATAGGGTTATCTCAGAGATTGAGTCAGCACAGGGATCATTATTCATGCTGCAATGGCTGACATTGTACAACAGAGAAACACAAGAATCAGGATTCTGGGCCTATGATTGTCATGAGCATGATATGGTCCTTGTCATCATCTGGGTTCTTGCCATGCTTGGAGATAACCCCATGCAGAGTGAATTTGCTTGCCATGCTGGACTTGAAGCCAAATTCTTCTGTCGCATGTGCTGGGTGAAGGGGAAGGATGGGCACCAGGAGTCACTGAGTGCCATGGTAAACCGTGTTAAACAATTTATGAAGTTGAATCTGACATACTTGTCTTCAGATTTACTGACCATCATGATTCATAGGTAGGGGGACAGAGACAACCAGCAGAGACTCAAAAGCTCTCAGAAGATGTCCTCTTCAAAATCAGCACTATGCAAAGGCAATCAGATACCACTGAGCTTCACACTAACTCCGGGATCAAGGATCGATTCTTGCAGTTTTTCTTGGACAAAGTAGCCAAGATGAAGAAGCTGAGCCCTTTTTGTGATGATGAGGAATTGATCAGGGAGGCCTTCAAAACAGTTCCTCTCATACCATTCAGTCCAATCTGGCACCTCAAAGGTATATACAAAACATGATATATATGTTTGGAAATATTGATACAGTGATTTTACAGGTTTGAACCCTCATGCACACACCCCTGTGGAGATTCTCCATGTCATCCTTCTTGGCATAGTCAAGTACTTCTGGAGAGATGCAGTAGATCGGCTCAAGGAGAAGGAACTGGAGATCCTTATAATCCGACTCAACAGCCTTGATGTCTCAGGTATTGACCCTTTGGTCAGTGCCTTGGCAGGTGAGACACTTGTCTGCTATGCTGAATCGCTGGTTGGCAGGGACTTCCATATCATTGCACAAGTGGCAGTCTTTGTCCTCTATGATCTCCTCCCCCCAAATATCATCAAGGCTTGGGCTGCCTTGGGTGCACTGGTACCATTGGTATGGATGCCTAAGATACCCAAAAAAACAGCTTATCTTGTGAATCAGTGTTATACAAATGTGCTGATCCCTGTGATATTGTATTCAGGTTCAATTGGAGGCTGCAATCGACCACTTCATGAAGTGCACAATGGAATGGACATCATGTTGGTTCAACAAGTCCAAAAACCATTTCCTCAAGCACCTGCAGGAACATATTTGGCAATTTGGGCCAGCTGTCCTTTTTGCAACCTTCAATGCTGTTATCCGTGTATGGTGCATTGACTCAAATCGGCTAGCCCCATCTCATGATACAGCAAACCGTGCAGCTTGCTTAGCACGTGTTTGCCACCTCATCAGTGGGGGATTCTATTGTTCAAATCCACAAGAGCAGGGGGTATTCAACAGGAGGACCAATGGAATACAGCTGGGCCCAATCCCTTTGAACTGGTCTCTCAGCCATCTATCATCACTCAACGCCTAGAATTACAAAATGCAGAACCTGACAGGACAGGTATCATCATACATCTCATAAAATTATCCAGCTCATTCATCAATTTATCAGGCTTTGTCTTTGGCATTGAGAAGAAGGCTCATCCCTGGAGTTCAACAATGAGCTCTGGAAATGCATCAATAAATAACCTTCCTGCAATGGTCTACCTAGGCAAAGATGTCATCATTGCTAACAGTGACAAGGTTGGTGTTGAAGACTTTGCAATCTGTCAAGATTCCATGGCAAAGAACTGGGTTGTCCAGCTGCAGGAAATCCTAGTACTTCAAGATTCAAGATCTCATGCAATGGGTGTTCTGGTGGAGCTCTATCAAGCCGGGGACTTTGTTGAGCCATACTGTATGCCACACCTCAAATGGACAAGAACTTCTGTATTTATTCATCCTTCAGTGAGTGCCACAGAATTCAATGAGCAACAAAATATGATATGACTTGATGTTCATCAGAAAGTTTGTTGCTCGGTCAATGTGCAGCACATATTCCTAGAAGCAGGGTGACTGATTCAAGATAAGCCTGTGGTAAAACACAAATAGCCAGAGAATAGTCCTCAATGCATCCAAAATGTGGGATGCATCATGGATACAAACCTTTGCGCAGACTACACCCTCAGTTACAGATCACAAGCTGGAGCAAGCAATCCATGAAGCCTGCAGGAGGGATTCTCTGAGTCTTCACTTAGACAAGCTGGACTTGTTGCAACACGGCACAGGAGTGATGTAACAGCCACCTGTCACACTGTCACAAGTGGGTTGTGCCGCCATGCCATCAGTCCCCATTCCTCATCGCTCAACATCTGCCAGGTCTGCAGTGACAAATAGTGGCAAGACTCTACCATGAGTAGTCTCGACTCCATCATGAATTGCTCACAGGACATGGAGCAGTATCAATATTCCCAGTCTAATCCATCATATCCATCTTTGTTTTTGACTGCTCAGACGACATCTCACCCCATAGCCCCCAGTCATGCACTTCAGTCGTGCACCCTTCCTACACCTCCTGGCTTAGTAGCCCCTATGACAATGCACACTCCTAACAACAACAGCATGGCCTTTGATATCTCCGGTGACTTCAATGTTCAGTCAGTCTCATTTGGCCCAGGCTCGTCTCGTCCACCTACCAGTACTCCACCTGTTGCCAGTCATGGCAAAGGCTTGATTGCGGCTTCAAACAAATGTCCTCAGATGGACTTGGAAGTGGGATGTGGGCACCATGACGAGAGGGTTCAGTCACAAGGCACCGGCGTACCTGGAGTCAGGCATGCTCAGGTCCTGGGCACGAAGCTGGGACTCAACGCAGACAACATGGTGATGTTGTCTTCATGGGAGGTGGTGCGTTTATTACATTATCTTTGTGACTTCAACTAGTTGAATCAATTTCCGGGTACAGCATGCATCAAAGGAAGGCCTCCCACATGCAGATTACATGTTGCATCTCATCACCTACGCCACTGCCCTCCACACCAACAAGCACCATGAACGTGTCAGTGCAATGGAGAAGAAGATTGTCAATCTTCTGAACAAGGGCCCAAGGAGCTGTCCAAAGGCAACAGTGGATGCAATGTTAGCATGCTCGAAAGTAATAAAATTTGATCACAATTGAATGTCTTTTGTCAACATGAAGTCAGAGCTGCAGGTGCGTTTTCATCTCCTGTCTCACACTGTGACATCCATATTGAGCATTTCCATTGCAGGAGATAGCCAAAGCCAGCTGCAACAAGTTCAGTCTCGATCCAGCATGATTGACTGTCAGCTTCAAGAAGGTGCTTGCAAAGGCAGCGCAGAAATCTTCGAACAATGGCCGTGGTTTTGTACACAAAATGGTGAGTATGTTATGTCTATCATGAAACTACCCAGCACATACACGATCACATCTGCAGCTCATCCCCTCTGTCAAACCATTGAGCGTGACAATTATGCTATGCTAGCATCACTACACACGCACACAAGGCAAACATGCATATGCCAACAATGAAGTCAATAAGAACAAAACATTGCCCCAGTCCACTATGAGTCCTGCACCATTGTGGTTGAGCTCAGTGACCTCGCAGACATCCAAGAGAGGCAAGAAGAACGAGAAAACAGTGACAAAGGGTTTTTGGGGTCCAGTATGAGGTGTACTTGGCCAATTTTGTTCGCACATATGGGTGGCATGGTGCGGCATACAATGAGTACATCAGTATCATCAATGTAAAATTTTCACTCTGATTGACTGCCTTTTCAGCCACATTGCCTTCCTCCTCAAAGAGGACAAGATGATGTACCCTGATCCAACAGCCCCAACCTGCTTGTTGCCATGGCTGCAGCGGCTGAGTCATGGACAACCCATTGCTGGTTCTAGTACCGGGCCCGGTACCATGAATGCGGCAGCCTTCAATGGACTTTGGGACCTTACACCTCCACATCATATGGTGTAATACCCCCTCTCCAGTCAAGAAAACCACTTGAGTACTGGCCGGCTAGACTGGCAAACCCGGCTCTGGCTGACCCAAAAGTCTCACACTCTGACTGGGCCAGCCAGACCCATTCAGGCTGGGTTGGCCAGGGCACAGAACCCCTCTTTAAACTGCACTGGTCAGGCCGGATATGCCATTCAGACTGGCTTGGCCGGAGACCAGCCAACTCAGGGAGACTGGATTGGCTGGAGACTGGCTGGCTCAGAAAGACTGGGCCAGCCGACCCACTAAGACTGAGCCCACCGGAGGTTGGCCAGCCCAGTCGAACCGGGCCAGCCGGACTCACTCCAACTGGGTAAGCCAACCTCGGGCTCACCCAGTATGACTGAATTGGCCGACCACACTACCACCAGATTGGCCAGGCGTCGGCCGGTCCACACCCCATGGAAAATACTATATAGCTGCCTGCCCCTGGAAATGGGTCTGGTACCTTCAAAAGCATCCATCCGGTGCCGGAATATCCAAATTTTGAGCCCCAGGCTCTTGAATACTATGAAAAATGCATGTCAGGAGCATCCTGTATTATAAACATCATTTGATACTGTTCCAGGGCATATGACTGGAGGGTGCCTGTATAGGCCAGTCCAATGCCACTGGGGGTGTGTATCAGGCGCCCCAAAAGCCCACACAATGCTGGACAAGCTTTTAAACACACACTGGCAGTAAACCAGTGTAATTTCAACAATATGGTTATTATTCCAGGGTGGATGCCATTATTCCCTTAAATAGGCCAGTCCAGCACTGCCTGGGTGTGTAACAATGCTCATAGTAGTCTGTCAATATATTGATTCAGTGTCAATCACAAAAGTAGTGATGATTAACATAGGTCAGTCAAGTGCATTTTTGGAGTATGTTTGTGAGGCATTTGTGCCGATTTACAAGCCATTTGCAACGAAAGGCGCACGGCAGCAATTTGGCACCAATTTGCACCACATTTTCATAGGGGTGGTTTCCTGATGCACCGCTGGCTCATGCTATAAACACTTGCCCCAGTCGCTGCACCAGTGGCCATCACTCGGATTTTTTGACTTCAGGAGTTCTCCTCCATGCGACCTGTCTCCAAAACACGAACCCTCGCCAGCCAGTCCCATCCTCCAAGTTGACAGCCACTGTGCACTGCACGCCAAAGGCGGGACACCAGCAATGAACAGCGGCTCAGAAGCTTTACCAATGACATGCATCGACACGTCCACTGACGGCTGGCCCTGGCAACGCACTGAATTACAAGTGAGGACGTTGATAGCTTCCCTCGCGCTGTATTCAGGTTGTGATAGCCTTTTATATATTGTTCATTCACGTCATTTCATAGCATTCCTACGATTTCAGACAGACATTGTATTGTTTGCTCATTCCAAAAATGTGCACGCCGGCTCTGCCTCCGCGTGCCCTCATATGGCAACTAGCGTACCACAACGCTCTTGAGTGAGCATGTTGCTCTCGAGGGTGCTCCACAGAGACACTATCTCTGCAAGGAGACAAAGTCTCCATATGGTACATGGCGAACATCAGCCCTCATCTCCGAGCCTTGATCTCTGGGTGTGACGGATGCTGTAGAACGTATCAAAGCAGCGTATACTAATGTCTATAGGACTACCTTTGAGAATCGCGACCCGCAAGCGTTCGTACCTCGACCCTAATTAATTAGTATATCTTTGTATTTTACTGTAATTACGTAGGCGCGCGCTCGCTGTTACCTCGCGCGTGCCCAGCAATTAGACGCCAGCTTCTCCCTGTCCAACTCCACCATTCGCCCGTGTCCGATACCGCACCGTACGAACTAGGAGCTGAGTCCCTAAGTCGTGTGAGCTCCTCGCTCCTCGACGCACAGTGCGTGCTCCTCGCCGCACTGAAGGATAGGCTCCTCGCCTACTCCTGCCCCGAGCTCGGCTCCTCGTCGTCTCGTCACCTGAGCTCCTCGCTGCAGGCACGACTTACCCTCGCCGGCTACCCGCCTGCGAACGTCCACGAGTACGGTCGTCGGCTCCTCGCCTCGACTCGATAACTCGTGCATCACTGGCTCCTCGCCAGTGCACGTCCGCGTACGTGTCAGGCTGGCTCCCCGCCTAGGCCCGACACTCCACTCCCGGCCGGCTCCTTGCCAGCCCACGACCTCCACGACCTTAAATACGACCCGGTCTCTGAGCGACCACCAACGTTCAAACCGACAGGTAGCCCGTTCCCTCTCAGTGCGAGTAGACGAAACCACCGTCCCTCACACTGGGGGACTACAGGGTGAGGCACGTGCCTGCACTTGCTGCCTTTTGGGACGATGGAGCAATGGTCTCCTTAGGGAGAATCAGGCATTTCCTGATGTCAGTTCCACAAGTGAACCGTCAATTTCTGTCATGCAAATCTCGCGCGTACTCCCAAACATAGGCCGCCAGCGGCTCACTTAAACGCGGGGTGTGGGTGACATGCCGATCAACCATGAACTGTCCCACGCAATGCCTGCAGCCTCCCCGCCAATCCATGTGAAGCAGGGCAACCCGGGTTGAAAACTCGTGCTCTGTGCTAGTGCGCATTTTTCCCCATACCTTCACCGACATTTCCTGTTCACTGGAGCTCCTCACATCGTACATCAACAACACATGTTGCAGTTTGGGTTTGATGATGCAGGCCTCCGGGTCTGTAGTCAAGAATTCGGGAAGAGACACCATCATCAAGTTTGCCAAAAGGCCAACAGACGAGCTATTTGCCACCCTTCGCATGAAGGTGATGGAGCTCCTAACCACCCTCGCCGCTGAAAAGCACCCGGGGGAGTTGTTCCAGGCGGCTGTTGAGCACATCACATCCCTCCACAAACAGTGCAACAAGCGCATGCATGAGGCAGATGCAAAAGTAGCCGAAATGGCTGACACAGCAATGGCAGACGCCCAGGGGGAAACCTCAGGGCCGTCTTTGTAATTTCACCAGTATGTTGCCTTATCGAACCACAACCAAACATAAATGCTGATGCGGGAGGATCAGCCAATCCTTTCCCTCCACATGTTGAGTGGCGGCCCACCCCGACGCACTTTGACGACGAGCCTATCAATGCAGAGCAGCTCAAATCTTGACCGGTGGCTTCAACAGTCCCCCAGAGTACCTGTAATCGTACCTGTACCATCTCCAGTACTGAATGATAATGTTCCTGACAATGAGGTTGAGCCTGAACCGGCCTTCAATGTCAAACTTGTCTCTGCCAACATGCAGAAATCTGCTGAGAATACAACCCAGCTTCTGGAGCGCTACAGAGATGCCGACATCATCTGTGTGCAAGAAATTTTCTGGAGACATATTAAAAATGTGCTATCCAGTAAGAAAAAGGATGGGGACCCGTACAAAAATACAACCCCTCACCGAAATTTTATGTGCTTTGGTGTGTCCTCCAAATCCCGGGTTGCCACATACGTGCATCGCCGTTGGCATGGAGCTAGTCCCCACATCATCACCAGATCAGCGCCTCGCGGTGACTGTCTCCTGGTCTCCTTTGGTACACCACAAGGCGCGTGTAACGTGCTCAACATGTACAATGATAACGGGCCGAGCAATGTGATTTCTCACTTGCTCGAGCACATGGACTCCCTCCCGCCTATCACCATGATGGCAGGCAACTTTAATTTGCACCATGTCACTTGGGAGAAGGTGATGCGCAACTGCAATGAAAATCCTCCTCATGGAGGTACAATTCCAGACCTATGGGACCTAACCACGGAGCTTCAGCTACTCCTAGACAATGACCCTGAAGCACCCGCCACTTGGAAGTCTAATAACCCCAGGCTGGCTGTGCAAACTCTTGATCTGGTCTGGCATAGACCAGACATCGAAGTATTGAACTTTGAAGTCAATACCCATGCTCCGCTGACGTGGGAATGGAATGCCAGCGATTCACCGGAACCCGACCCAATAATTGCACGTGTTGGACCCGGACCCGCATCAAACAAGTTCTGCGTTGCAATTGCCAAGCTTATTGCTGATCTTCCCATGCGGTGGGAGACAGCTGATGAGCTACAACAAACTGGAGACAAGCTTTATGCTTATATCCAGCGGACATGGAAAGGAAATGTGGTGAAAACTCAGCGCACAGCCCATTCAAAATCCTGGTGGAATGCAGAGTGCAGTGCAGCTCGCAAGCGCCAAATTCTCACATCTAAGCAATCCACCTCCTCGTTGGGAACATCACCGGCGTCTACCATGTGACGTGGCATAGCATCAAACCAGGCAAGCACTTCTTTGTCATGCTCCCACTGTGATAATAGATGCTGGGCAAATACCTCAGCTTTGTCATTGATTTTGTCAAAGAATTTGACAACGTCATTGTGATTTTTTGAGAAGGGTTTGTCATGGATACCTCCTTTCCCGATATGCTCATTCAGATTGAGCCACTGTGTTTGGCGCCAAACTGTGTGAGCATGTAGTCACGCCCAATTAAGGGTAAGCATATCACCGCAAATTTTGTCATCCTTACATTTGGACAGGATCTCTGCCCACTCAAAGGTGGCTGCTAATGGATTCATATAGGCAAAATCCGCAATATCACTGAGGCCCAGCCACGCTGGGTCCGGCTGTATTAGGTGTCCACGTGTCGCTGCTTCCTGCCAAATGGGCCGATGAACGGAGAATGTTTGTGCTTTATAACACACATCCAGAACAGGCATTTGAAAAGTATGTGATCACAGGTTTCTTTATGTCCGCCGTGTCCGCACAGGCATTTGATTGGTCCTTGAACTGTTCATGATATTCTCCACAAGGGAAGTGATTGGTCAGAAGACGTGCAATTTTTGCCATTTTCTGGTTGCTAAACTTGAGACCTTTCGTCTTGAATAAGAACAATTGGTTGCAAACATTGGATGGTTTAAGCTGCTTATGCCACCACATCTTGTTGCCCAAATACTTGTTAGGGCGTGATAGGATAGAGGGGTGAGGGACACCTCTAACTTTGACTTTCCGCACGTGGTTTGGATGTTTGTATTCCCGGGCCC